AAAAAAAAAGTACAAAAATTAGCTGGGCATGGTGGCATGCACATGTAGTCCCAGCTACTCAGGAGGCTGAGGCAGGAGAATCACTTGAACACAGGAGGAGGAGGTTGCAGTGAGCCAAAGTTGTGCCACAGCACTCCAGCCTGAGTGACAGAGCAAGACTCTGTCAAAATAAAATAAAATAAGACTAGACCAGGCATGATGGTTCAGGTTTGTAATCCCAGCACTTTGGGAGGCCAAGATGGGAGGATCACTTGAGTCCAGGTGTTTGAGACCAGCCTGGGCAACATAGAGAGACCCTGTCCTACCAAAAACAACAACAACAAAAATGAGACTAATATCACCTACTAGGCTTGGCGGGTGGTGGGCTATTGCTCATTGGTGGCCACTGTTCCTATCTTCATTAGCATCAAGTATGGGCTCCTGCTGTCTCAGCCCTTGGCCTCTGGGTGCCGTCTGCTCTGTGCTGTGCCCCAAAGCGGGGATATTTACATTATCTCACTAAATCCTTATTTCAACCCATTTCCAGATGAGAAAACTGAGGCTTAGAGAGATTGGGGCTCTCGCCTATTCAAGGTGACATGCTTCAGGGAAGTGGTGAGCCCAAAGCTCATTCCACTTAGACCAGCAGCCTCCCAATAAGTGATTGAAGAGCAAGGCCAGGGCATTTGTGCTTTGAGGCTCTACTACTGTGTCTAGGTCAGACCCAGAATGCCATAGGTACTATATAAATGCTCATCAGTCCAGGCTGGACCACTCATGCCCAACTAAGGAATCTGTCCTGCAAATGAAGAACCAAGAAACAAGGCCAAGTTGCAATGGCAAGTAAGCTAGATATGGGCAAAACTAAACCAGCCACTGGCCAGGTGCAATGGCTCATGCCTGTAATCCCAACACTTTGGAAGGCCGAGGCAGGTGGATCACTTGAGGTCAGGAGTTCTAAACCAACCGAGGCAACATGGTGAAACCCCGTCTCTATTAAAAATACAAAAATTAGCTGTGTGTTGTGGTGGACACCTGTAATCCCAGCTACTTGGGAGGCTGAGGCACAAGACCGCTTGAAACCAGGAGGCAGAAGTTGCAGTGAGACGTGATCGCACCACTGCACTCCAGCCTGGGTGACAGAGCGAGACTCTGTCTCAGAAAACAAACTAACTAAACCAGCCAGCAGCAGAGAGCTGCCACTACAAACCCCAGGGACACCCACTCTTCTGCCTCTAGGCAGTCTCCAAAAACCCTCTCTACAGGCTGCACACCTGTCACCAGAGCAGGGGGAAGCCACAAATACCCCTGGGCCAGCATGTCTAGTCCTGCATGCCCGGCTCAGCCGAGGGGGCCCCAGATGTCCTTGGGGGACTGAACTGTTCTGTGCCTTCTCCCGACCATGGCCCTGAGGGTTGGGGGGAAGGAGACAGGATGTCAGCCCCTGGCACCAGGTGACACCTATCCTTGGCTGCATTGCCAAAATTCTCCCCCTAGAGTTCCTCTGGGTTCTGTGGGTCCCAAGAAGTCACATCTGAACCCTGCGTATGTGTCTACCACTTCCACTCAATTCTCCAAAAACATGACTGAATTCCTTCTAAAAATCTGGATGTTAACAGCTTCAGCATCTAGTCACCTGGACTCCAATCTCGGCTCACCAGCCCTTCACCAGCTGTGTGACCCTGCACCAGTGTCTTCACCTCTCTGAGCCCCAGTTTCCTCATCTGCAAAATGCGATAATAATGGTGCCTGTTTCTAGCGTGAGCATTAAATAAAATACTCCATGCTTAGCTATATGCTTGGTATGGTGTGACACAAACTGCAACGTGCTCACCACAAAGCATGTCCGATTCCTCTTAGGAACATGGCTAAAAGCCATTTCCCGGCCGAGCGCAGTGGCTCACACCTGTAATCCCAGCACTTTGGGAGGCAGAGATGGGTGGATCATGAGATCAAGAGTTTGAGACCATCCTGGCCAACATGGTGAAAACCCATCTCCACTAAAAATACACAAATTAGCTGGGCATGGTGGCACGTGCCTGTAGTCCTAGCTGCTTGAGAGGCTGAGGCAGAATCGCTTGAACTCTGGGGTCGGAGGTTGCAGTGAGCCAAGATCACGCCATTGCACTCTATCCTGGGCTATAGAGCGAGACTCCATCTAAAAAAAAAATAAAGCCGTTTCCCAGACTCCCTTGCAGTGAGATACGGCCAGGTGGTCAAGTTCTGATCCATAAAATTAAGACAGAAATAATGCGTGCCACTTTAGGCCTGGCCCATAAAATCATTTTTCTCCTTCCTGGTCCGTCAGCTGGAAGGATATAACTCCAAGGTCCTAGGGGATGCCAGAACCACAAGACAGAAGGGATCTGGGTCCCTGGGTCGCCACATAGAAAGCTACCTGCCAAACACCCAACAGGGCTTTTCATGAATGAGAAATAAACTTCTATTGTGTTAAGCCGCTGAGGATTCGGGGTTTCACTGTCACATTAGCTGGTGTTACCTTAATTACTACCTGCAGTTAAACAGCGGCTAAGTGTTGGCTATTCTTACTGTTATCATTACTATCATGAGTATAATTGGCTCTTTCTAGTACCCAGGCTAGAACCCTGTGCCTAGTCTAGGCGCTGAGCCATTATTTGGTGACAAATACAGAGCAGACACCCTTTGTACACTTCCCTCCCCACTGCCACCCTCCAAACCTGCCTTTTGCCAGGTGTAGTGGCAGGAACTAGCCAAAAAGCCCCTCAAAGATTACTTGTGAGTTTCAAACATAGCAGCTGCTCTTATCCGCTTACCCCTTCTTTATCCTTCTGCTGCTGACTAGAAATTACGACAAAAATATTGAACCAACCACAAGCCAGGCCCTGTGCCCAAAACATTACATCTGTCCCTTACCTGCTTCAATATTCCCAGCACCACCCTACCTGCTTTACAGATGACAGCATGAAGTCGCAGCAAAGTTAAATAATTTTCTCCAATGCATCCAGCCACAAAGACCTCAAGTCACAGCTGAGACCTAGGTGTACCTGATTCCAAAGGTTTTTGTTTATTTGTTTTGTTTTTGTTTGAGATGGTGTCTCACTCTGT